TTGGTAAGGCCCACTGAGCTATATAGCTCTTATTCAGAAACGACCTAACCACAAATTATAGATCAACAAAGTGGTTTATTACGTGAAAATATATAGCAGCCAAACACTCTAAACGCATGTTTTTAAATGTGGAGGGGAAAACCGGAGGACCCGGACAAAAATCGATGCGACCACAGGGAGAGAGAACAAAACTCTAAATATACAGCGGGCGTCAGGGTCGGGATCAAACGCACGACCTCCTGTATACCAGGCGAGGTAGTTAACATCTCCTAGCCACTGTGATGATGATTATGGTGAGAGACATGCAAGCTCCAAATATACAGCGGGCGTCAGGGTCAGGATCGAACCCACGACCTCCTGTACACCAGGCGATGGAGTTAACATCTCCTAGCCACTGTGATGATGATTATGGTGAGACATGCAAACTCCAAATATACAGCGAGCATCAGGGTCATGTTCAAACCCACGACCTCCTGTACACCAGACGAGGTAGTTAACATCTCCTAGCCATCGTGATGATGATTATGGTGAGAGACATGCAAACTCCAAATATACAGCAGCAGGCATCAGGGTTAGGATCGAACCCACGACCTCCTGTATACCAGGCGAGGTAGTTAACATCTCCTAGCCACCGCGGCACCAGGCATCGGCTCCACTGGCCCGTGCTCGAAATGGACAAGGCAACTGCATGGCCAGCGGGGGCAGATTGGGACATCCGCGATAACCCAGACTGTGATTGCAGAGTTCACATTGGGCACTCCACCAATATGGGTACAATCAAGCCCGACTGCTGAAGAGAAACCGAGTGTCAAAACCGGTCCCGTCTTTGCTTGCATTGAACCAATGCTGCTGGAAAGACGAACTACCGCAACATTGTGCGGCCAATGGGAATGTGTAAAAAAATATGGGAAGAAGGCATATTTATTTTGTTATCAACATTCTTCACCAAAAAAACACGTCGTGATTATTTCGTGTAAATGCGGAGGACTGGTGCAGACCGTGGTTAATAATTTGTGGATTGCCTTTATGACCAAATTGGATGAGAGACGGAGCAGTGCACATTGCAACCCATGAGTCTGTGGTCCTGCACGGCCAGTATGCAAACATCTAGAATAACTGTAGACTAAGATATAAAACGTGTTAATACTTAACGTGAGTAGTTAGATTGCAGAAAAGCAATGTGAAAAATGCTGCAAAGAGCAGCCATTAAGAACGCTCAAATACTATAACCATGGATCAGCATAAGCTAAACACAACTGCGTTTGCTCACGAGTAAGTTAAAGAGGTAAATGTTATAGCCTCAAATTACTTTTGTACTCGTGCAGAATTAAAAAAAACGATGATGTAACTTACTTTGGAAAGTGAGACTCGCTCTCATAAAACGCACGTTAAGAACTTTTAAATACTTTACACCACATGCACGCACAGGTGAGAGATGCAATCACATCACATGCACAAAGACGCCTGTGTTGGTTACCTGAAAGCATTATTCTGTTGATGAGACACTGAATCTTGAAACTGGTCCAGTTTGCATTGAGATTATTATTTTAGATTATTTTGGTGCTATAAATATCCAAATGATGGGCCACTTTGGTGACCTATCATTTGTGGCCAGGTCGCTTCTGTAAAATAAGTGAATACCTCAGTGGACTTTGCCTGGTAGGATGGAGATGGTTTAGTTTTGTATTTGCGTGTAGTGTGGCTGATTTGTTTACCTTTATTGTAATTTGCGCTACTGTCAAATGTTGTACTGTTTGTTGTTGTAACGTTCTTACCCCGTGCCACTACTGGGCATCTGTGAAAAAGAGCTTCATATTCTTGGTTCTTTCGGTAAAGTCACATAGAATGGAAATAACAGGTCTGTCTAGAAGACAGACCTGTTCTTCACCTGAGGACGGCTGTTTGCATTGTGGCCGAAACGTCGTGAGAATTATTTTATTATGTTTTATTTTTATTATTTTATTATTTCCATTCTACGTGACTTTACCGAAAGAACCAAGAAGATGAATCCCTGCAGTCACGAAAGCTTTAAATCGAAATTTAAGAGCTTCATAGCTCATCGGATTCCTCCAGTATAATTCAATATTTGGATTCTGCCTGTGTTGAACCAATGTTGCTGCATGCGTGCATGCCCTGAAGGCCATGTGGCTGATGGGAAGTGTAAAACAATACTTTCATTTCATGTGAAGGAGGAATATTGTCCGCTTATTTTGTTACTGGCGTTTCTCCAAAATGACATCAATTCTTATTTTGTGTTTGGGTACTACGGAGCATATTTTACGTCAAAAGACAGTATGCCGATAAACATCCGACGGCTGGCCAGTTCAAGCAAGCCTGACTACGGACGAGACACGAGATGTCTAAACTCGTCCAGAGTTTGCTTGTGTTGAACCCTAAAATGTCGCATTACCTGAAGGCTATGTGGCTGATGCAATATATAAAAATACTTTTATTTTGACAGATATGTGAAAGAGAAACCGTCCTATTATTTATTTCATCCCGTTTTAGTTGCAAGCACTTTGAGGCACGTGTTGCTATAAAGCCCCTATTCGCGAGCTCCCAGCTGCACAGCCACATACAATGGATATCCATCGCATGGGGAATCCCAAGCGTGGGAGCCTCGGTGGCGAGATGTTAGCTACCTCGCCTGGTATGCAAGAGGTAGTGGATTTGAACCCGACACTAACGCCTGTATATTTGGGGTTTGCGTGTTCTCCCCGTGGTCACGTGCGTTTTCCCCCTCCACACTTAGAATCAACATGCGTGTAGAGTTTTTGGCTGCTATGATTTTCCACGTGACGATGAGCAAATTCGTTGGGCTATGTTATTTGTGGCCAGGTTATTTCTGGAAGAAAAACCAAACTATATAGCTCAGTGGGCCTTATTTAGTAAAAATTTAAAAAGTTTAAGTTTGAAGTCTAAACTAAAACACGTTCCAACAGTACGTCTCGGCTAACAATATAGACGATCAACGCCTTGATGCTCATGGAGCAGGGAGATCACGTTGTACCTTTGCCTTTCAACTCACCATTACCCAAGAACCTAAGGGGGGCCCCCAATCAGTGAGGAACTGGTTTCTGATACCCATTTGATATGCGATAGACAGGCAACCGAAAGCAAGCGCAGTTACGGGTAGCCATGCTGGGCACAACCATCCAACCCATAAATGTGTTAATATGAATTAGGGGCCGTCCCCATAAATGACGTCACACGATTTGACGATTTTTGACCCCCCCCCCACTTCGTCACACGGCGTAACAAAAATCAGAAACCCCCCTCCAATGACGTCACAAAGCTCTGCCCCCCCCCCCCCCCCCCAAAATATAAAACAAGCTTAAAATCGCTATAAACTATTGTCATTGTAGCGCGTATTTAATGTGACGCTGCACTGATGTTGTAGGAGAAACCATTTATTAAAAAGTCTATTTAATTAAGTAGAACGTGTTGTCTTTATTTATTAAAGTTGCGCATATTGATGTGACGTCACATTTCTCAACCCCCACCCCCCCTTGTCACACATCGTCACAAATGTCTGACACCCCCCCCCCCCCATAGGTGCGTGACGTCATTTATGGACGGCCCCTTAGGCGGAAGATGGGCAAGTATTCATTACCGGAGGGGTGATGGTTTTGATTTTCAACTTAAATTCCTGTTATGGTGACTGCTTAGACGTCTGAGTGATAGGATTAGTGGTTTGTCGCCAGCTTCAGTAACAATTCTGGCGACTAACTTATCAATCAGATCAGTTATCAATCCGGTGATTAATTAAATTTCCGGTTGACTGATTCATAGCGTTACTCGTTAAACCCCTGGTTCATTGAGTGGCAGCATGAATGTTCGACAACCACCTCCTGAAATAACAACGTGAAACCACTTTTGTAGAGGGGCAACACGAGAAAGAGCATTGTTTATAACTAGATATACCGCAGCCTATGACGACCTCCTAAGGAACCTTTTAAAATCTGATCATCTCTAGACTGTTGATCCGGGTTAGTGCTCCGATTGGCGATCACCACAGGACATGAAAATCCACTTGTTGTCTATGCGCTCGGAAATCACCGACCCCTCACTAAGCAGTGCAGTAAATTATTATCGATCAGTGTATGAAAGGCTGCACACGCGCACAAGAAGACTCGTTAATATTTTCACGAATGAACAACAACAATGGATGAACCGCTAGCACTCGTAAAAACACTCTCGCTCATTCACTCTGTTGACGGGAATACAGAACTGGAAGCGAACTTTGTTTGATTGGTTGACAATTGTATAAATTGTAACACATCTTGCTTTCTCCACATTATTTCCGTGCGGTGTCTATAGACGGATCAAGCTATTGGCAACCGCATTCTCCGAAATTGGAAGACGCACTTCAAACTCGTGGCCCAGGTGTCACACTGCTAAGTACACATCTCATCACAAAAGACGAAGATCCCCCCCCGTGTAGCCTTCACAGACTGCTTGTGAGCACTGCTCACCATGGAGGGATGGGTTAGCCAACACAACGCCCGGCCGCCTTTGTCTCCCCAGCGGTGATGTTTAACACACCGCACCAGATACTCATTTGAGGTCGAGTCGACCTAGGAGAGGTCCCAAGACCGGTAAAGACAATCGTCACCGGTATTGGCCGTGAGCGGGAATCGAACTCGGGTCGCCGGGTTCGTAGTGCAGCGTAGCGCTAACCACTACACCACCGCTCCCCGCAAATCTCATAACAAACACAAACGCACACAAAACTTTTAATTTAAAACACAGGGGGATACAAAAGTATCGTCCTGTAATAAGAAACGCATTAACACTGCTCAAGTGTAAGCCACACGCCTCATACGATTCATAAAACTTAGCAGGGAGACCGATTCCCACCAGCCACCCACCCGTGACAAAATCCGCGGGGGAACGAGACGCGAAAGGCGGCGGGTTTCCAGGCGAGCCCGAGGATGCCCCGGCAAAGCCTAGGCCCGAAACCAGCAAATCCGCCGATCCCGTTGGGAGACGAAACTCACCCAGGTCGCGCCACCCCATGGGGCTCTCGCACGTGTCCATGATCCTGCAGAACTCGTCCAGTACGAGCGGCCGCACGTCGTAGATGTAGGTGGAGCGGCTGAGGGCAGAGCCCCGCCGTGGACGAGAATCCATAGCCCGCCCGCCGCCGCCTCCGCTGCGGACTCGCAACTTCAACTCGGAGAAGCCCCCGAGGGGGGCGGGGACCGGCGTCACGTGACCGGCGCGGAAGTGACGTCAGCATCCGGTATATAAAGCTAGTCGCCATGTTTCCTGGGGGTCGTGTTGGGTGTGGGGGAGGGCGGGGTTCATGTCAGGGGCCGTTCATAAATGACGTCATGTAATTTTTTACCCCTCCCCCCCTTCGTCACGTGACGTCACAAAAAGTCAGACACCCCCCCCCTCAAATATGACGTCACAAAGCTCTGCCCCCCCCCCCCCCAAAAAAACATGCTTAAAATCGCTTTAAACTATTGTCATTGTAGTGCGTATTTAATGTGGCGCTGCACTTTGATGTTGTAGGAGAAAACATTTATTAAAAAGTATATTTAATTAAGTAGAACGTGTTGTCTATATTCATTTAAAACTAAAACCATATACAACTTTGGTTGCTTTAAAACAATTCACGTGGGTTATTGCAATCTGCTTTGTTTCTGAACCAGTTCTTCAGTTCCAGGATTTTAGTTTGTGCTTACGATTTGGCCTCCTCATAGGATTATTTTTTTCTGTCTAGACCAGGGGTGGGGAACGTCCGGGCCGCGAAATCATTTGGTCTGGCCCTGCCAGGTAGGACTCGAAATTCAATAAATCTAGGAGCAAACCTGGAAAAGCAGTTGCGAGTAGCAACATCATCAATACCAGCTAACATCACACGCCTCACCAAAGAGAAGCAGTTGCAGCCATCGCATTAGGGGTGAGTTAGATACATTCCTGCGGAGGGGGCTGGTAAGAACGTTGGGTTGCTCGGTCAATGGCCAGGGTCAACGGCGGCGTGGTGTATTCCGCAAATATGCCCGAGTGTGAGGACGGGCACAAGCCGGCGTGAGTAGGTTAAACGTTGAGTTTTATAAGGGCACCACGGGGTGACCAGCCCCTTCCCACCCAGCCCCACCCCTCCCATCCCCCACCCAGCCCCTCCCCACCCAGCCCCTCCCCATCCAGCCCCACCCAGCCCCTCCCCTCCCCACCCAGCCCCTCCCCACCCAGCCCCTCCCTGCACGACGGACGGACGGACACAATAATCCCCTGTGGGCTGGTGGAACCAGGAGGTTCCTACCAGTATTAAAATGTTTGACCAAATATCACAGGCTAATTTTAAGTTGATAATTTTGTATGGCCCACGAATTATGTTATAAATATCCAAATGGCCCTTGGCAGAAACAAGGTTCCCCGCCCCTGGTCTCGACTGTGCTGTTGCCGGGTGATGAATGCTTTCCGCTTCTTGTCAATGAGGCCAGTGATTTCCTGATCGTTGTCATCAAACCAGTCACAGTTTTTCCTTCTTGGGTAGCCAATGTTTTTTTCACAGCCGGTTATAATTGGCGTCTTCAGTTGTGTCCAGTCCTCGTGAACATATCCTGAAGCCTGGTTGGTGCTGAGTCTTTGAGCTAGTTGTTGTGTATAGTAGTGAAAAGTGACGTGAGGCTGGAACAGTTTAGTGGAGTAAGAATGTTTTCCCCTTATTTATGGCAACAAAACAGGTGTTAAGATTTTGATTTAAAGCTTTCATGACTGCAGGGATTCATATTCTTGGTTCTTTCGGTAAAGTCACGTAGAAGGGAAACAATAAAATAAAAACGTCGTGAGAATTTTTAATTGTTTTATATTTTTCTTATTTTATTATTTCCCTTCTATGTGACTTTACCGAAAGAACCAAGAATAGGTGTTAAGATGTTAAAACACCAAACTGAAACCTTTTTCTAAGGAATCATGTCTGCATTAACCACAATACTTGTGGTAAGAATGCAAACAGAAAACTTGTCTTTGAGCTGTACGCCTTTTGGCGTCCTCTGGTCTAACACCATTTGAGACGAGGCTCAAAAGAAAGATGTCTCTGGTGTGGACCAATCAGTTTTAAAGACAATGCATCTATTATCAGAGCATGTTTTTGCTTGCATTCTGACCACAAGTTTTGTGGTTAATGCAGACATGATTCCTTGTAAAAAGTTAGTTTGGTGTTTTAACATCTTAACACCTGTTTTGTTGCCAGAAAAAGGGGAAAGCCTATTCTCATATTTTGGAACTGGAAAAGGAGGTTCCATGAAGTATCGTGTAGTGTATAGTGGTGTGGTGTATAGTGTATAGTGACGTGTCTCGTGGTGTAGTGTATAGTGTAGTGTATAGTGGTGTAGTGTATAGTGTATAGTATAGTGACGTGAGGCTGTAACAGTATAGTGTAGTGTTTCGTGGTGTAGTGTATAGTGGTGTATAGTATAGTGTCGTGTCTCGTGGTGTAGTGTATAGTGGTGTAGTGTATAATGTATAATAGTGACGTGAGGCTGTAACAGTTCGAGACCTTGGGTGTCCATGGCAGATTTTGAGTGACGCTGCGTAGAGTTCTACATTATCAGCTCAATGGAGGGGGGGGGGGTGTGGCAATCGGTCAGATGGGGCCCCCCAATATTTGATCTGTCTCACACGGTCACCTAATGCATACCGTGTCAACCATGCGGTTTACACCGTATTCTTGTACAGGGAAATTAAATTTTCAGGTCCAAATGGCAAAAAAAGTCCTTTCAATACGGACAAATGTGTTGAGTGTCTATGTGTTTGTGGGATCTCCCTTTTGATGGTACTTTGTTGGATGAACATTGAGATTTTTTAGGGCACGGGGTGACCAAAGTCCAAATTGGTCTGTAATAAAGTAGGGCACTGATAAGGGGTTGGCAGGTATGGTAATGAAACACTGGTACAGAAACACTGGGTAGTGCATACCTGTCAACCCCATACTGTTTATCCCCATATTCTTGTCCAGGGAAATTGAGTTTTCAGGTCCATACGGCGTACAGCCGTTTCAATAGGGGCAAAGAGATGTCTTTGTGTGTTTCTCCCTTGTGATGGGACTTTGTAGGAGGAACGTTGAGATTTTATAAGGGCACGGGGTGACCAATAATGTCTGAATTGGTCTGTAATAAGGTCAGCACTGATGAGGGGTAATGCATTTGGCGGGCCACGCATAAACAAAGACTCCCCCCATATCGCCTTAACAGGCTGTTGGGGCAGGTGCTGTTAGCGAGCACCTATAAAGGCCGGCACGGCACACAAGGTGGGTGGCCAGCACCAAGCCCGGCAGCCTTCGTCTCCCCAGTGGCGATGTTTACTACACATTGTCGACCTAGGAGATGCCCAGTAGCAGCGCCCTTCACGAACCTCCTCCAGAGGCCGATCTTGACACCGCTGGTACCAGTCATCGTCAAGTCCACTCAGCTCCACATCCTCTTGTACACATCACGCCATCTCTTCTCCACACCTCAGGGCGTTCCTTATGTTTAACTTCTTTCGTACCGTACGTAGCTAATCGGAGGTGCAAATGAGGTCGCGCCGCAGTGAGTGATTGAATGCGCTTAAAATTATAAACTCAAGTGTTGGCAGCTCGCACATATTAACCTCTTGGAGTACACGATTAGTGCAGATAAGACAATGCGGTGGACAAACATTAGCTTTGTTAGGGCCGTTTTGAAGTGGTCGACCCCCTGCAGCAATGAGCTAAAGGAACATCCCTGTGCTGAAAGACCTGCAAATTACTGAATTTGGGATTACTAATTTTTTTTATTTAACCAGGTAAGGCCCACTGAGCGAAACAGCTCATTTTCAGAAGCAACCTGGCCACAAATGATAGCTCAACGAAGCGGCTTATCACGTGGAAATGTATAGCAACCAAATACTCTAAAGGCAAGTTTCCACAATCCACACGACCACGGGGAGAACATGCACATTCTATACTGGGCGTCAGGGTCAGGATGGAACCCACGACCCGCCTGTACACCAGACGAGGTTAGTGAAAATATAAACACAGGAGCCACGTTTGCGACTTGAACAAAAACCCACACAACTAGAAAAAAACAAGAGACTGGAAGTTAGCAAAAGAATAAAGACTTTTATTAAGCACTGTAAGTTGTCATTCGCAAGTCACAAAGAACAGAAATGAAGGAAGGCTAAAAAGCCCCGCACATCATCCCCACTCAACACATTTTCCTTGGGTAGCCACTGACCATCTTTCCGCCCCCCTCCCCCCCATTCCATTTGCCAACTTACTGGACTATTCACCAACAGAAGAGAAGAGGGTGGGGGGAGTTAAAACGTTTTGACGGTTTTTTTTTTAATATCAACTATAACTGGCATGACGAGAGATTCAAAAAAGATAGGAGGATTAAACGAGTGAAAAACCATCATGGTGGTACGTACGTACGGTCGTCTTTAAAGATTTCTTCGGAGCAATGAGTAATTTTTTAATGCGGTTTTTTTTAATGTTTTTATATTTTTTTCACTGCTTTTTTTAATTATGCTTATTTTTTTTCATCCGGAAACACATCACTGTTTAACAAACACTAAGGAAAAAAGCGTTAACGTAAAGGCCTAAAAGACTAATTCGACCAATCATAAAAAGGGTTGTGACTATTGAAGAAACGTGAAAAGGGGTTGGTTTTCTTGTCAACAATCGTAAAGATGATTATAAAGGGGCGGGTTTTTGTTGCTTTGCATTCTGTAATACAGGGATAATTTTTTATATGAGACTGAAGCTTCTTTTGTGTGTGTTTTAATCTTTTTTTGTGTTTTTTTACTGTCGATTAAGTTCTTTTTTTTGTAATAGCTAATACGTTAGCATACAATACCAGATACGAATAGCCATGAATACAACAGGGTACATAACGCTTAACAATATACCACGTGAACAAGTCTTAACGAAACAAAAGTAACCTTTGTTTTCCACCCTAAGCGTCGGATGTCGCGGCAGTTTACGGTAAATCACACAAAACTGCCATCACTACGGAGAGCTAAAATGGTAGAGCACGGTCAGGGGTTCGTTTATTTTAAAAACACAAATCAAAGATGCTTTTCTTGGGGGGTCTTTTTTTTTACCAACCGAAAAAAGTTTAAAATCTGATCGGTGTGGAAATGTATGCCGCCCCCCTCCCGACCCCCGCACAAAACCCCACCCAGCGCCCTCACCCCCCACCCCTGCCGCAGAACGTTTTCTCGTTATATAAAGGATCATTTCTGCTGTGTCCACACGTGCACGGGAAAACGTCACTTCTTCTTGGCCCACGCATCCCTGGCCGTTATCTGCGCCGTGTGGGTCCTTCAAACTCGCGCGAGGCATCGCGGACCACATTTGTCCCTGCTCTACGTAACGTCGCCCTGCAAGGTATAAAACTCCTGCACGGACGTGGTCCTGCGCATGTTTTTTTTCTCTTCATTATTTCTTTTTTCCCGTGTGAACGTATCGTAACCTCCGGCAACAACAAAAAAAATCTGCTGCGGCTGGTTTTTTTTTGCCGGCCGACATGGTTTTTGTTGAAATCCAGTATTGCCGCATGATCGCTAGCCGTACAGCTCGGTTGACTCCACATGCCCGCGTTATAGTGTCAAGTACAATTCAACGTTATGCTGCTGGGCTTAATTATACTTTTTAAATATAACTTTTCAGCAATCACATTTAATCCCCCTCCCACCCCCCCGCCAAAAAAAATTACAATCGAGACAGCGATACTGAGTACAGTATGCTTGCTTTCAAGTGAACATGTTTTTTTGGGGCAGGGCAAAGCAAAAGGTGCGTAATTCTTTCAAAATCCCAACAAGAGGATTAAGTGCCAAAATGTTGGATCTCACTGCTACGATGGTGCTCCTCCTACAGGGAGGGCCCTTTCTGCAAGGGTCGCAATGTTGTTTTTGCCATAATAATCACTTAAAGTGGCCAGGCAGCCAAAAACCACTGCTGCTCTTAAAACTCCCTCGTATGAAAAATGCACGTTGTCCAAACAACAACAACAAAAGCCAAAATAATCAAGTGGGTGAGTGCATGCGTGCAAGTGCGTATGTGGTTTTTTTCACTTAAGTATCAAAAATGTATCATCCTCACTCGCCGATGTCAACCCAATCGTTCGCATTAATAAGTGCTTTTCGTTGTCTTCCTGCATTCAAGGTAAGTCGACCCTAACCAAAATCCCCATCGTCACTCAACTCCTCTCAAACCTTTCTCGACAAAAAACGAAAAAAAAATATTTAAAAAAGGTTTCTTTCTTTTTTTTGTTTAATATTTTTCGTTTTTTCTAGAATTTTTACAACTTTTTTTTTTATTCCTTACACAGACCCCCCCCCCCACCACCACCACTTTCCCAGCTCACTCCTCTTTGCTAAGTGCTATGGTGGCTGAGGTGCTGTCGCCTGTAAAAGCTGCGCGCGTGCCATGTGCATTAAGGAACGCGCCTGTATTGCACGCAGCAGAGTCACTCGTCAAGGCACTTTCTGATTGGTCGCCGTCGCTCGCGATCGCTGCGCCGTCCTCGCATCCGATTGGCTTTGTCGCCGCCGAGTCTCCGCCCGCGCCATCGCCTGATTGGTCGGGCCTGGGCGGGGGCTCAGCCTGGCTCTCCTGTTTATCGGATGATGATGCCGATGCTGCAGCTGCAGCGGTGGCGACGGTGGCATTGCCGTTCTGTTTCACACGTGCAGAGAACGAAAGGAGAGGTCTAGTAATTGGACGGGCTAACCTGGTTCCGATGAGCTCACGATACGGTGAACGTTTCTTTCAATTATGGGCGCGTAAAAAATGTAACTTGTTGTAACCCACGTAAATTTATTACGAAAAAATATATCTGCAGAGAAAATTTGTATTTTTTAGTTGTTCTTCCCAGACTAATGCTTTCAAGCACAAATTGTTTAGGCAGCCAAACCGAAGACCGGTTTCTACTTTGTGAGTCTCATCAGGATGCTAAAAGCAATCTGCTGGGCTGCCAGATGTTAAAGGCAAGAACCCTTTACAAAAACGCTTGGGGGCTCAATTAACAAAAGTAGAAATATTGTAAAATAAATATGAAACTCATTCTGCAATATTGTGGAAGATTATATTATCGGTAAAAGACAAAAGTCTATGTTCTCAACAACGCAAGGTGGACCTTTTGCATCTCTTCCTTACAAACCTCCACTATAAGCACGATGACTTTTTCAACATTACCAATTCACACGTTCGGATATTTTCGGCAACGTATGTTGGTGGCTTACTTTCTTAGCACACCGATGGACTGAACGCTGTGGAAGAATGAGTGAACACAAGGCAGGATTGCCATGGAAATGAGTGAACACAATGAACGCCAGGGAAGAATGAAGGAGCAGAATACAGGAATTCTGTGGAAGAATGAGTGAATGGGTTTCTCTGCAGATCATTCCCACCTGTTCTTCCCGAGCGGGCGGCTTGCCTCCTCCCCCTCCCCTCCCCACGCCGATTGGCCCACGGGTAGAAGGGGCACCACCCCGACCCCCGCGCCTGTTGGGATCAAGACAATCGCTGTGCGTCACTCGGCGGTGCCCTCTCTAAAACCGCCACGCACCAACAGGTTGCGTCTGCGGAAGACCATGGGCTGATATTCCGTGTTCCGCATATAATAGGGGTGGGGTGAGGAGTTCAGGGACTCAAACAATTTGCAAAGAAATTAAAAAATCATCATCATCACGATCCATGGGAAGATAGCCCGTAGATCTCCACTGCACATCTCAGAATGTTTCCACTTTCCTTTCTTGTGCCAGTATTCTCAAGTAGTGGCCACACATTTCTGGCACCAATCTCTGATGTCATCATCAAGCCATTCTCTGCAAGGTCTTCCTCATTTTCCGGTTCCTTCCATTTTAACGAACAACGCACTTTCAATTTTCCTGTTGTTGCCCATTCGAAGTGTCCAAATAGTGCCAGTTTCCTTCTCATCACTGCCTGCATCATCAGGGTGTCTTCTTCTGTGTGCAACCTTCGTTGGTCACTCTTCAGGTCCAGCTTAGAAACAAGCGAGCAAAACATCGCCGGCTTGTTCGCCGCATCTTCACGCCGCACCATGTCACACAAGCCAGGCCGCCCCTGATTAGTACTGTGCAGTACTGTACACCAAATACCAGAGGTGTGGACTCGAGTCATGTGACTTGGACTCGAGTCAGACTCGAGTCATGATTTTGATGACTTCAGACTCGACTTGGACTTGCATAACAATGACTTTGTCCCACCTCTGAGGTGTGGACTCGAGTCATGTGACTTGGACTCGAGTCAGACTCGAGTCATGAATTTGATGACTTCAGACTCGACTTGGACTTGCATAACAATGACTTTGTCCCACCTCTGCCAAATACCGTAGCCATTGCATAGTGCATTCCAAGGACTGGATTGCGATTTTAGGTGGTTTTTTTTCACCCTTACATTTACATCGCATATTTTGTTCATATTTTTGCAAGCGAGGTAAATTCGCAACCACCGCAATTCATCAACAGGTCAGGTTTGGTCAAGTCTGTTTAATGAGGTGGGAACTCAAGAGACCAGGATAGTCTCATTTGCAAGGGTGAATCGGAAGTTTACCGTGTCCATTATTATTTCAGAAACATGCGCTTAGACTTTCAAATATTTGGCTGCTGTACATTTCCACATAAGCCACTTCGCTATCATTTGTGGCCAAGTTGCTTCTGTAAAAGTAGCTCAGTGAGCTTTACCTGGTAAAATAAAAAAAGGTTAGCTTATTTTGAATGTTTTAATAATTTGCTTACCTTTCCTAAACTTTCCTGTTTTTATTTGTTGTTGTAACTTTCTGACCCCGTGCTCCGACTGGACATCTGTGAAAAAAGAGCTCTATAGCTGATCGGATTCCTCCAGGATAAATGAAGATTTCCGATTCTGATTTACAAACCCTACTCGACAGGGGCGGCTGTGACGCGAGCGTCAATACCCATCACCACCATCATCTAGCATCTGCACACGAGCCGATTTCATCGTCAGTTCTCACCAACGACGGCAAAAGAGGGGAGAGAGACTGGGTTGATTTACCCGCGCATGCCGCAGCCCACAGACACGATCTGTGGGGGCAGAATCCCGCGGGCACGGCCTCTTCGCCCGCCCGCCCACTGTCCCACGACCATGCCCGCGATCTCCAGCTTCCCTCCCTGCTGGGGCAGGGCATGCCCTCCTGCACACAAGCGCACAAAGACACAGATCCCCCGTATAGCCTGTCACGGATTGTTGGAGCGAGTTCTGTTAGCGAGCACTTATGAAGGTCGGCACGACATACACGGCAGTGGGTGGCCAACACCACTCTCGGCCTGTGTGGCAACAGGGTGGGCAGTAGAGGGACAGTGCAGCACAACACAATGCTGCGCTATAATGCTGTCCTGCCCAAGTCTTTGCTCTCCGCCTTCACCAACTTACACTGACAAACCATGAAGCACAGTCAAATAACCCCAACGACTGGCACGGCGTGGGGAGGGGGCTCTCATCCAGCAGTAGATTATTGAAAAAAAGTAGCTGTACACGGTACACTGCGTGTCTTAATGTGCCAACTTGTGCCCCATTCACATTCACTATCTCGTGACGTCATCAAATTGATTTCGAACGAAAAACATAGATTCGTGATTTCTACGCAAATTTCATCCACACACGAAAGGAGGACACAGGCTTGCGCTCGCCACTTGCTACAAAAAAACAAGCAGAGTGCCGGGCGGCTAAAACACAGCAGGTTGGCACCATGGGAAGCGCATCTGACATTCATTTACAGTCGGGTAACTTGTAACATCTGGGGGGTATGCGTCCCGCGACATTTTACGACGAGCCTTCCACACGAAGGCCTCCCCACGGTGCACCACAACCATGACGTCGCACCACAACCATGACGTCGCACCACAACCATGACGTCGCACCTCCGACCAGCACGGTCGGCTACGTACGGTGCTGAAGCTCAACGTACCCACGTACGTACAACGCATGGTTTAATGCGTCCACCCTCACCCGCTATGTTGCGGGCGCGTGGGTGCATCGACGGCGGAGGCATGAGCGGGGGCCCCTGGGCGCGCAGGTACAGGCCCTGGGGCGGAGGGTGGTGCGGGTACTGCCCCATCATAGAGGGTGGCAGGTACGGCGGGGGAGGGGGAGGGGGCATGGGCGGGGGCAGCGGGGGCATGGGTGGCCGTGACAGGGTGAGCCCCTCCAAGATGCTCTGCCTCATGCGGTCCACGCGAGACACCTGCTCCGACTGCACGCGCGCACACAACACAAGAGGGTCCACCCCGCCCCACACGTGTAGCCTTTATGGACTTTTTTGTGGCAAGTGCCGTTAGCAAGTAGCACATATGGAAGGCTGGCAGGGCACAATGTTTTTTACAGACTGCACCAAATACTAATTTGAGGTCGAGTCGACCTAGAGGAGGACCGTGACCAGTGTCAGATAATCGTCACTGGTGTTGGTCGTGAGCGGGAATCGAACTCGGGACGTTTGGTCCGTATTGCAGTGTGCTAACCGCTTGTGTGTTTGTCTGTGTCCACGCTCGCACACACAAGCACACAAATGTCAAACAGGCACGTGCAGACATGTTATGTATAAAAGCTAAAGGTGCAGCCATACAATTACTTGCTCAGCCCGCTGCTGGCAGAAAGACCTCCACCACAGTGAGCTCTGGGGTTGGGTATTTTGGCCTATTCTTCAACGCTGGCCAAACACATTGGAAGAGGTGGGAATGCACATACTTTTCTCCTACCGCACACGACCTGCCAATGGAATGTGGTGCACTAATTTGGACTGCTGGGTGGATAAGCAGTATACATGGACCCATTTAAAAATGCTCCAACATCCTTACTCCCGAAGGCAGGAAAAACCCCAAAGCCACGCCAAGCATGACGAGGTTGGGGGTGCCAATGACATCAACCAACCCTGTCCATCACATAGGCGACACTTTTTCTTTCTCCAAATTTCCTTCCCAACTATTTTCACGTTATCCAAAGTCGGACGATTGAAGCGATGCGCTCAATAGTTGGATCTCCCAGCTCTATTCTTGAGCATGATCACGGGGGGTGGGCAACTGCTGCATCTCCGACTCAAATCAAAGGTCTCGGCGATGTCGGCTCCGAATATCCGACACGGCCATTATGAACCCCACGAGTAACCCGGCTCTGACCACGACATCGCATTGGGGCCGGGTAGAAGCTGGCGCTTTTTCCCAGTATACCCCGACACGCTCTCCGCTCGTCGTCGACGTCGTCATCGTCGTCATCACCTGTCCGTCGCAGATCTCCAGCAGCGGCGCGCGGTCCCGAGTGGCGCGCAGGAGCTTGCTCTGGAAGAGCTTCCCGTCGAAGTAGAGCCAGGGGCAGCAGTGCTCCCAGGGCACGGGCTGGCCACACGCGTCGTTCGCAAACAGCGCCGTCTCCACGCCGCGCATGAACAGCGCCGCCAGCTGCACGCCACGGGCGTCCAGCCCGTCGATCTGACGACACCATCGCCGCCACCGCGCACACATGCACACACACACACGCACGCACACACGCACGCACGCACACACGCACGCACACACACACACACGCAAGCAAGCAAGCACGCACACACTCATTTAATTACCGGGTAAGAAAGGTACGGGCGTTGCTTTAGCTGCCTCACTCCAATGTCACGGAACAATAGAGGGATTTTGGATAAATTTAACTGTTAACAAAAAAAATCCACCTCTTCAGTGCTGGAACTGCAGCAGAGTGCAAATACGTGCAGCATGCTGGACATTTTGCTTTACCCTTTTTTATTGACTTCATAAAGTTGTTTTATTTATAATACAACATTTGATTTGTTTCACAATATATTGCTTCGGGTATTGTGGCTTCGTTGATATTTGAAAGTCAATGTCTTGCAATTTATATATATTCCAATTCTGGTTATATCGTAACATTTATTTCACGAGATGCTTCGATTGATGAACGCAGACTAATACCGATTTAGAGTTAAGGACATAATTTAAACAGTTATTAAACGTGGGCTTGGGATATGACACAGCACGGCACAAAGTGATGATGACCGTTGGTCAATAATAATAATAGTAACGGAGCGCCAGCCAGGGAGGGGCATGTACCCCAGAGGATGTCCATGGAGGATGGCTACATTGCAAAATGTGGCAATTTATTACTTCACCACACAATATATACAATTTGAGTACGACGTTTCGCTGGCGATTACCACTTTCATCATGAATATTAATGGTCGCGAAAGCATAAGTGTACAGCAGCACAGCAAATGCAGGTCGAATGAGCTGTTTCTCAGAAGCGACCTGGCCACAAATAATAGCTCAACGAAGCGGCTAATCATCTTGTGGAAATGTATAGCAGCCAAATACTCTAAAAGCATTTTGATTCCAAATGTGGGGAATACGGAGGACCCGGAGAAAAATCCACGCGATCACGGTGGGAGAAACACGCAAACGCATAAAGGCAACCCTTACGATTCTCTGGGCCTACCGCCACCGCCAAAACGTGTCCAACAATTCAACTGCAGGCGGCACTGAATGCAAGCGGAGGACCAACGCAGGCGCAGTGCCAGGGCGGCCGCTCACCTTGATTTCCTGCAGCTGCTCGGGCTTGTAGAGCACGGGAGACACGGCCTGGGCGAGGAAGGCGTCCAGCTCGTGACGTCTGAGGATCCGCCCGCCGGGACACTGCAACATGTACCTGCGCGCGGGGGGGGGGGAGAAGCATGACTTCGAGCCGTTTGCACTGCGCAATAAATGAGCACTCGCGTCGCATTAAATGACATTTTGTGCCTTGGTAAAGCGCTGGGGGGGGGTGGTTAATGTTGGTGTCGGTGCCCGCGGGACGCTTGTGTACAACCTTAGCAAATGTCGATTTAAAGCTTTCGCGACTGCAGGGATTCATCTTCTTGGTTCTTTCGGTAAAGTCACGTAGAAGGGAAGTAATAAAATAATAAAAATGAAACATAATAAAATAATTCTCACGACGTTTCGGCCACAACGCAAGCAGCCGTCCTCAGGTGAAAACCAGGCCTGTCGAGGCGACAAGACCTGGTTTTATTTTTATTACTTTATTACTTCCCTTATACGTGACTTTACCGAAAGAATCAAGAAGATGAACCTAAGCAAATTCACGATGGCAACCGGAATGCAGAGAGGACTTTGAAGACAGGCGCCTACGATTTAAATAGAATTCTACTGCAGCACAAACGAGTGCAATTGAGTGTTCTCACACACGTGTCACTGTCACCCTGACCAATTCCACAATATGAATTCTTCCTCCGCTGAAAAGTCAATCAGATCATGCAAAGACATTGTACAGTACTCATAACATATCACTCCCTATAGAGCATCTGGATAAGAAAACGAAAAACTAGCGACGCAGCTCATCACTAACACCGCACCAACAAACGTGCAAATCTAGTCTAAAAAATAAAATACGCTTCGATGACACACACACACACACACATATATATTCGTCACCAATTTGGTGAACACTGGCACCGCACCCGGCACAAGCGGAGCTCACCTGAGCACGCAGCACAGCACGAGGTGCTGGGTGGGCACCGCAGCCGGGTTCACCATGCCCGGCGTGTCCGAGCGCAGGCACGCCAGGAAGGCGCGCATGCGCCGGTTCTTGTCCTCCACCGCCTTGCCGAGCCACAGCTTGCGCAGCGTCGGGCAGGTCCACTCGCGGAACGGCAGCGCCTCCACCAGCTCGGGCGTCTGCGGCGCTTTCCCCTTGTAGGCGCACCACTCCTTCACCAGCACGGGCATCGCTGCGCGCAGGGCGAAAGACGGGGGGAGCGGGAGACGGTGGGGAGTGAGGGGCGGGGAGGATGAGCGTGCTAGTGGGTGAACGTGCTCAGTCACGTGATTACACGCAACAGCGTGCCATCGCATTATACATAACCGCGCTATGAGGGTGCCATGGTGGCGAGATGTTAACTACCTTGCCTGATATATTGGAGGTCGTGGGTTCGATCGTGACCCTGACACCTGTTGTATATTTGGAGTTTACGTGTTCTCCCCGTGGTCGCGTGGATTTTTCTCCAGGTCCTCCAGGTTTCTCTCCACATTTAGAATCGACATGCATTCCTAATATTTGGCTGCTGTAAATTTCCACATAAGCCACTTTTGTTGAGCTATCATTTGTGGCCAGGTTGCCACTGAAAGAGCTATATAGCTCACTGCGCCTTACCTGATAACGTAAATAAAATAAAAAAATTAATGAGCCCCCGAGACCAGACCAGAAGTTTCAAAATTGCGGCTATCGCTTGCGGTAGCATGTTAGCAATTCCATCTCAAACGAGCGGGATTCTGAAATAATTTGCCCTCATTCGCCACGTAAATCATTCTGTACGACTAAAGCTTTGGTCCATTGTGGTGGTAACCGATTTCAGCTCTGGGCCCACGAGGTCTACATCGTCCGCGAGCAATGGGGCGCGCGATTGCCACGAGCCTCGATACCGTCGGGCGTCATCCGAAAGTGGCGACCGTGCACGATCGCGTGACGACGTGAGCGCGCCATCGTTCACAACGCGTGCGGTCTCGGGGTGGGGGGGTTGGGGGCGGGTTGGGTGCAGGGGGGTTCCTCACTGTCCATCATGCCGGGCGGCGCGCGACGCAGCGCGCGCTTGCGCAGCTCGCCCAGGCTGAAGAGCACGCCGTAGACGTGCTGGCGCGCCGGCCGGTACAACAGCGTGGCCGGGGGCAGCTCCGGGTTCGCCTCGTCCTCCAGGGTGACCGGCAGCTTCAGCTCGCCCTGCGTGCGACACCACACGCTCGCGTCGCTCTGCCGCCCGGTCCGAGCAGGCCGAGCGGCGACGCCGCCACCGGCGACTTTGTCGGCGTCCCCGCCAGTGACGGGAGCGAGCAAGCGAGCTGCCGTCATCGGCTCTGCTCTTGTTACGCGTCGCAAATTGTTTTTGTTGTTACGCTCGGAAAGCCTCACTTAGTCTCGAGAAGGGGCCTGCCACGGAATTTGCAGCAGGGGAGACGGCGATTGTTGCTGCTGTGTGCGATCCCAAGGGAGTACAGTAAAACCTTGGATTGCGAGTAACTTGGTCTGCGAGTGTTTTGCAAGACGTGCAAAAATTTTAAATAAATATTAATTTGATAAACGAGCGAGGTCTTGCAATACGAGTAGTACGTGTAGACGCTTTGTCTGCCGAGCGTCACGTGATCACAACTGATATACGAGTGCTTTGGAATACAAACACGTTTCCGGAACGAAGTATGCTCGCAAGCAAAGCTGTTACTGTAATCTGCAGGTCATTTTTGAAGTGTGTTGAAAGTTTTTGTTACGCGTCGCAAATTGTTTTTGATGTTACGCTCGGAAAGCCTCACCGAGTCTCGATGACTTTACCGAAAGAACCAAAGGGTATAGAATTTATTGAGCCATACCTGCAACTGATTATTTAACAGGATTTTTAATTAACAACACCGTGTTCCATGTCATAGCGTTCCAACAACCGTTCAACAACGTTCAACGACCGACGAAATGGGCAAAGATGCTCCATGCTATTTTTATTTTACCAGGTGAGGCCCACTGAGCTAAATAGCTCTTTTTCAAAATCGACCTTGCCACAAATGATAGCTCAAAGAAGTGGCTCATCACGTGGAAATTTATAGCAGCCAAATACTCTCAACGCATGTTTTTAAATGTGGAGGGAAGAACCGGAGGACCCGGAGAAAAATCCCCACGACCACAGGGCAGAGAGACATGCAAACTCAAAATACACAGACGTCAGGGTCGGGATCAAACCCACGGACCTCCTGTATACCAGGCGAGGGAGTAACATCTCGCCACCGTGATGCCCCAAAGATAAAGAAGATAAACCCACGTCGCGTGCAGCCCCCGTGCGTCTATCCACTCCTGCACAGGGGGAGGGAGGGGGGGGCCTCCGCGGCACTCACCGTGGTGAGCACTTGGTAGACGCCAGGGTGCATGAGGCCGTTGCGGTGCCGGTACTCGGCCACGCGGATCACCTCCACGGCCACCTGCGGCCGCGGTGGCGTCGTCAGGTCCATGTGGGCGCGCGTGGGAGTTGACATGAGCGACGGGATGGCGGGCAGCACTCCCCCGCGGCACGACGGCTCGTCCGTGACGCCGAGCCGGCATGCGGCCTGACGTGTGACATCACGCACATTCATGAGGTCGAGCTCATAACACACACACACACACAAAGTTCTTGCCACAAATGGACCACCAATACCTCGTTGATCTTGTCAAGGAGCGTAAAACCATCACGGCAACTCGGGTCATCCTCGCAACGGCGGCTTTTTGGCTCGCCATCGAACAAAGACGGTCACCGCATGGCTCGCTTTAGGATTCGCTTCTGCGGCCATCTGGAACGCTCTTTATTCCGGTATCTGGAAGCTAATGGAGCTATGCACTTGTAAATCTAAACTAAAAACTCATTTATTTGGAACGGCTTTTTGTGTTTAGTTTGTTCTCCTTCCCTGCAATTATCACGGTTGGCTACGTACGGTGTGAAGCGAAAGAAGTTCAACATTCCGGTTCATTTGTGACATTGATAATGGCTATATTATGGGACTGGAAACTTGTCTGAAGGTTTCTCTTCTATTCAGATCGCATCAGATGGTACTCGACCTGCTAACACATAATGTGAAGGCAGCTACTACGTGCAGGCGAGACAAACTTACAGCGGCGCGTCTGCCACAGTCGGATTCAAATCGTGAGGGTTCACGATTTGAATCCGACTGTCGCCTGGCCTCACACAGCCAGCGTACGTTAAAGACACCCAGCGACATCGTTTGCAAGAGTACGCCGGTGTGTGTGCGCGCCGGCATCCTTGTCCAAATTTGCCAAATTAAAATACTCACTTGCAAACTACTCAATTGCCATGTACATCGCAATATGACGGGACAACTCGTGTCCTGAAAAGGTCACAATACTCAGCGATGCTGTCCCTGGCTAAACAAAAAATGTACCTGTCCACCCCCATTCGCCGCCACCCCCGAGGCCTGTCCACCTCCCTGGGTAGCGCCTTCGGCCCAGGCCCCTCTGCCACCACTTCCCGGCAGCTCGTTGATATGGCTAAGAGGGGGGGGTGGGGAGGGGGGGGGGACAACGGGGCAGCACACGGGAACCACCAACGACAACAGCAGCAGCGATGGCAGCAGCAGCATTAACACCGAGCGACTGGTTTCACGAACACGGATTTAATGTCCCCCCCCCCCTTCCCCCCGCATATGGGTGGCGGGGTGGTGCAGTGTAAACACTTGAGTCTAACAGCAAGAAGGGCCTGGGTTCAATTCCTGAATCGGGTACCTTTCTGCATGGAGTTTGTACCTTCTCCCCCTGTTCTATATGGGGTTTCCTCCTGGATCTCCGGTTGCCTGCCACAACTAAAAAGAAACATACAATATAACTGGCTAAATCTTGACTTAAAGCTTTCGTGACTGCAGGAATTCTTATCCTTTGGGCCTTCCGGTAAAGTCACGTAAATAGGAGGGGGAGTGGGTCGCTTGTGTTGCAATCGAAACGTCGTAGTTTTCGTTGATATTATTATTTTTTGAACCTATCTATGTGACTTTACCGAAAGACCCCAAGAATATAACTGGCTTTGACTAAGCATCACAAAGCGAAACAAAAGATCCTGCAAATTACTCAATTGGGAATAAACAAATAAACGCCGCCCCCTACTCCAAAGAGTTTGCAGGATCTTCCTGAAACAAGAGTCTTGAGACTTTCCTGGGCATTGAGGCTTTCCTGGTCAAACAAACTTATTCATTAATTCATCACGCATAGTCGTCGAAGGACCGTTGCGCCAAACATGTGTCATACGCCCGGTGTCTTCAGTAATTTGTTTGATACACAGATCACGGAGGGGTGCGACCACGGGAGGCGACGCCTTTCCTTTCAGAATCGCAGTCCTCACTTCGAACGTCGCCCGCCAGCTGAAGTACGCAAATTTGCGGGAGTTTGCGCATCAAGACGGGCGACCTATCCACAGTGACAGCCGTCTCCTTCGAACTGAGCTCTCGATCGCTAGGAGGCCGGTCGCAGATGCAACGGTGGCATTTCTGACGAAGCCGAACCATAATCTGGTACCGATGGCCTGACGCACAGACGTGGAACATTCCCCAGGAGCGACACAGCCCCCCCCCCCCCGCTGGCTCCCGCGGGACGCGACGATCGTACTTGGCGGTGGCGGCGTCCCCGTGGGCGTCCCCGTTGTCGGACGAGGTGGAGGAGGGCGACGACGGCGGGGGGGAGGGGCCCGTCGTCTGCCGGGGGCTGCTGGGAACGGCGGGGGCGATGGGCGACGCTCGCTCGTACAGCGGAGTGTGCTTCCCTGTTGCTGCGAGAGACGGAGTGCGAGCTCAAACCCCCTCTGCTCGTCCTCCTCCACTCACCCCTTCTTACCGTCCACTCACCCCTCACCCCCTCATCTACTTACAACTACAATCACCCGCTCCACTCATCCTCCTCCACTCACCACTTATTACCGTCCACTCACCCCCTCCGCACCTCTTAATTTTCCGACACCACCGATAAGCACGGTTGGTTACGTACGGTGCGAAAGAAGTTCAACATACGTACATACATGTGAGTCTACAGGTCTACAAGATGCTCACCTGGAGAGGCGATGTTCCCATATCCATGATCTTCAGCTCCCAGGCTGTTGTTGAGTGTCGCGTCCAGTGCAAGGTTGTTGTCTTCTGAAATGTCGTTCAAATCTGCCTGGTAACAAGCCTCCGCCTGATTGGACGGGCTCTTCCCCGCCTGGCTGGCAGCCGAGTCCTGATTGGCTGTCTGTGGTGAACTCTGAGCATCGCTTTTCTGGGGCTGAGACAGGGTGTTCAGAAGGAGACACACAAAGCAACAATGTGGAAGTAATGAATGAATGGCAAGTGAAATGTGGTTATTTATTTGGAATTCGTGAGTGGTTCGCCTGGATTTGAACCCGGAATCTCAGCAGTGCCAGTTAAGCACTCTGATAAATTAGCAAGGCAATCTGCCGCCTACAAGACGTTAGGACAATCCCTGTTTAATGTTGTCCATGTGAGACCGAACTAAAATGGCAATGGCGATGATGATGATGATGATCACGAAGGTGATTTGATAATGCGGTGGTGGTGAACGTGGTGTAGGGTTAGCGACTTACCGGCCCATCTCCTTGCTGGTAGGACGGTGCGGTGTTGTGAACTGGTGCCGTGGGGAATAGTGGCACTGGGATTGGAGCAGCACCTGGAGAAAAAGCCACGGTCCGCACATTCCACACGCGCCACCAAGAGACCCTCACCCACAGCAGTGACACAGCTCAGAAGGAGTGACACAGCTCAGAGGGAGCAACGCGTTCGCCACCTGATGTGGGTGCATTAACCACAACCCTCCTGCGTAACAGGTGAGAGAGTTAACATCTCGCGACACTGAAAATCAACACAGGTGTACCGGGCAAGTTGGTCGACTGCACGGATGGCCTTGGGTAGGTCTTGTGTCCCTCTGTGTAATACTGCACTGCCTTCTTGAATCGCTCGATCTTTTCACCCCTCTGGGACTGTACGCACGCACCCGCACACAAAGACAAACATACCAAGGTACACCGAATTAGCCATACAGAATGCTGCGACGAGTGATTCATCAGCTATGGCGTATTGTAAAGGCTGGCGTGGCATACAAAGCAATTGGTATAGCGAGTACTGTGCTAGGCCACCTATCGTCTCTGTGGCACGGATGTTCACATCCCCCACTCCAGGTTCTCAATTCGATCCATCGCAGGGAGCCCAAGGCAAGATCGTACAACACTTGTCACTCATGTGAAACTATAAACTATTTTTTATTTTGCCAGGTAAGGCCTATCGAGTTAAATAGCTATTTTTCATAAGCAAGCCTGGCCACAAATGATTGCTCAACTAAGTGGCCTGTCATGTGGAAATGTTATATCAGCCAAATGGAGGGAAAAATTGGAGGAACCGGAGAAAAATCTACATGACCACGGGGAGAGAGACACACAAACTCCAAATATACAGGTGCCAGGGTCGGTATCGAACTCACCAACTCATGTATATCAGGTGAGGTAGACAGAATGGGGACAAGACAGTTAAGTTATCCACGATTGGAAATCGAACCCAGGTTGCCAGGTCTGTATTGCAGTGCGGGCACACGACTCACCACTCACACCCAACTCGACTCGTGGACCTCCGTGGAGCGAGGAACGTTCGTCGGCGAACGGACTTGCGTTGTCTACGATCAGCGAGCCGAACCTGTGAGTGCTTGAACACGTCCTTGGCGATGGAGTCGAGGTCGTTGATGTCGTTGACGTTTTTCAAGTATTCCGCCACTGCCTTGATGACCACGTCGCAGGGTGGCAGCACCAGCTGGTGCGCCCGCACCTGTAAGGATCGACGCAACGCGCACCTACCGATGAGCATGGCTGGCCACGTACGGTGCGAAGGAAGTTCAACATACACGAGGAGGGGCTGAGAGCCCACCTTATTCCTTTTCTCCTGCCCCGTAAGCACCTGGGCCTCGGGTTTTCGTACGTTGAATGCCTGTGCCCCCCCACCAACTTTAATCACTCACTCTCTGCACCGGACTCTTGTTCAGTGAAAAAAAAACCCAGAAACACAAAGCATTGCGTTTTTAGTTTTTCTTCAGCGCTCTGCCGTGACCCAGCGTTAGAGCCATTCGCTGCAGAGGGTCACGGTTCGATTCCAGCAGCCACCCTGGTTAATACCGCAAGGTGTAATAGCCCCAATAACCCTACGGGGCGTTTGCTTCAAAATGGACGTTAGAGCTCTCCCGATGTCATTCGTGTGCCGGCGTCAGCGCCCAAATTTGGCAGATTTGAAAATTACATCGCAAATTACTCGATCGAGATTGCACAGCCAACAGCAATAATCGGCCCCTACTGACAAGAGTCATTGCCTCGATAATTCGTGCAAATGAGACGATCCTGGTCTCTTATAGCACGGGTTAAACTAAATAAACTTCACTTGGCTGATTTGCTCGCAATTTTTATTTGATCAATTCGCAGGCAGCGAGAAACTGTTCTAATCTGCCGCTGGAAATTCAATTGGGAAAGGTAGATGATAGATAGGAAGGCAAATAATAGGGATTTACGGCAGACAATTTTCTTAATTAGAATAGCAACATCGTCCCCCCGACTGGCAGAATAATGAACACTTGCAGGCAGGTGCTAAGTCATCTTTGTGACATCCGTCTGCTAGGCTAAAAAAAAATCTACAGCTGGGCATTGGAATAACTTAGATAAGGTACAGTAGATCATCGATTCATTATCCAGAGGCTTCGGGAGGGAAAGGGGAGCCGCCAGATTTTCCAAAATGCCGGATAATCACACCATGATTTAAAATAGCCTATTTTTGCCCATTCTTGCATAACATTGTTTTTAAGTGTTGTTGTATATTAATTTTTGTAGTGTTTTACATGTTTACTGTGTGAAATTGGCATAAATAAACAGACAAAAAAACTATCCTCCCTAAAAAAGGTACCGTATTCACTGTACCGTACTGACCACTCCAATCTCGAAGACTCTGCATGGGGTGCTGTATGTGGTACTACGCTCTTGTTTAAACAACTTGTGTTTGACGATCGACCGAAATGATGAAGCCAAATTACACGCAACTTTTAGCCAGATCGCACAGCGTATAATTTCAGTTTTTATTACTTGTCATGAAAAATGTATATAAGCGCAGTATTTTCATTGTTCAAGTTGTATGTAGTGAATAATGTACGATATATATTTGACACTGAAATCAAGCATAGCTATTTGTTTGTTAGGCACACCGTGCCGATCACCAGACTGGTCAACAGCCTTCGGAGCGATTTTGCCGGTCTCGCCGGATCGGCCCGGGACCGCTGGATGTTGGGAGCCGGATAAATTGCACGCCAGGTAATTGATGATCAACTGTAATTCCCTTTGAGATACTGGGGCATTTAAGCGCCCGACACGTTCCTTCGGAGTGGGCAGGTAGGAACTTGGTTGGACAGCGCATTCGTGCACGACAGAAAGCTCTCGGTCACGTGACGCACTTCAACCAATCCGGGAGCGTACATGTTTGGGAGGGGCTTTGCACGACATAAAAACAATCCCTGGTGGGCAGTGTGGAACCGTTGTTCCTACCTATGTTAAATACAAATCCTTCACCTTAATTTTTTCAAGTTCGGCCTGAACAAAAGCAGCAACCCACTGCGATAGAATAATCCAGACATTATACGTTAACCTGGTTCCACATGAAGGCAAGCTCTCGTTTATTCGGTCATTCATGCGATGGCTTGAGCAGTTACCTTCAGAGATGCCAGTGGGTGTTCTGGACCAAGCAGGTTCCAATGAAATGCAGCCAAATCCTCGTCAGGCAAGAGGTGGTTTCCTGGAAATAAACAACCATCGGTTTTAACTTCTCACTAGGTGTGGTGCGAAAGAAGTTCATATATACATAGATACCACGCATGAAAAAACAAACTCAACCAGGATACTTCTAACCAAATTTTGTATTTGACCAGATAAGACACGCACGCACACACACGAAGATAGACACACACAACAACGACCGCCACTCGCCACTAAGTGACGGTGACGTCACCACGGCGCTTCTGCCAGGCTGTGCACATTAAGGCCGCGTGGTGTCAAACGCCCGCCGGCAGGAGGTTACGAGACAGACCCAGGTGCCACGGGCCTGTCTCAAAGATCCCCCGTATAGCCTTAACAGACTGTAGGGGCAAGTGCTGTTAGCGAGCACCTATGAAGGGCGGAACGGTACACGAGGGGGTGGGTGGCCAGTACCACGCCCGACCGCCTTTGTCTCCCTAGCGGCGATGCTTACACACCACACCAGGTACTCATTTGAGGCTGAGTCGACCTAGGGGAGGCCCGGGACCGGTTCAGATAATCGTCACTGGTGTTTGCCGTGAGCGGGAATCGAACCCGGGTCGCCAGGTTCGTAGTGCAGCGCGCTAACCTGTCACACACGCGCGTGCAGGCACACGGGCAGGCACACGGGCAGGCACACGGGCAGGCACACGGGCAAGCACACGGGCAGGCACACGGGCAAGCACACGGGCAGGCACACGGGCAGGCACACAGGCGTCTCACCAAGGAGCGCAGCGAAGATGGGGAACTTGTGCGGCTGCAGCTGCAGGGCGCTCGCCGCCTCGGGCACCAGGTACTCGTTGGCCGTGAGGCTCTTGCCGTTGCGGCTCAGCTTGAGTGTGCTGGAGCTGAAGTAGTGCGGCGGGCAGAAGACGGCGTAGTCCGAGTCCTGCGCCACCAGCCCGTGGAAGCCCGACTCCTTGCAGAAGCGAATCACTTCCAGGTGGTGATCGTTGATGCTTTGGCAAACCTAAGGAAAGGCGGTGGTGCGGTACGGACAGGAGGAGAGAGCGTGAGCAAGGCGAGTGTAAGGGACTTGGGAGATATTGGGTGCTGAGGGGGTGAAGATAGTAATCCCAGTGAATTACCGAAGGACCGGAAATTATTGTGGCTCTCCGATGTGTTTTTGGATTGTATTGTCTTCTGTAATAATGTTGAAGCTAGTTGTAATTACTGGCGAATCGTCATACTCGGAATGGCTGTGTCGGGTGGTGGCGAGTTATACGACACATTTATATTTACGAGATCTAACCCGAAGATACCTGTATTATGTATAAAAATGTTACTTGAAAAATTACACCGCTAATTACTTCATTTGGATTATACATAGCAACCGCCGGGCCCTGTGGCAGGACCCTCCTTAAAACGAGTCATGGAACTTGGTGAGGCTAGCCTAGGTAATAAAGCATACATATATACACATATATACCGGACTGTGTGGAATATGAATAAACACGTTTTAACAGAGGGAATCTCGAAACATATCAAATGTGGAAAAAACATGGGCATAAAAAATATATTTGGCCATCTGTACATTTGACGATGGCCTAGCACGCTTTAGAAGCAAGGCCGTGTCAAGCCACGTTAAATCCTAACACCGCACCGTGTCTCTCCTCCCTCGACTGGGCCAGCTGCAGTCAAAACTGCGTTAAATAGGTGTTTGAACAAAAGCAGGCAGATTGCCAGGCGCGACCTCACATGACCCTGGCAAAAAGCTTTGGGACAGCTGCTGTTGGGCTGCTGGGTTGGACGGTGGCTATGGGTGAACTGACTGCAATCCGGCGACTTAAGAAGCAGGATTTTCGTCGAACAAAGACGGCCACTGCATCGCGTGCTTTCAAATGCGCTTCTGCGGCCGTCTGCAGCGCGCTTCCTTGCGGATATTAGGAAGCCACTGGATCTATGCACTTTTAAATTTTAGATGAAAACTAATTTCTTGAGAACTACTTTGTGTTTAGTTGGTGGTGTCCTTCCCTCGCACCTCCGATTAGCACGGTTGGCTACGTATGGTGCGAAAGAAGTTCAACATATATACCCCCTGAACCTACATAATGCACAATGCCACCGACCAGATTCCTCACCGGCATCAGCCAATAGGACCACATCTCCAGAACCTCACTGGTTCCTAATCCATTCTCAAGTCAGGGAATCGATATACAGTAGCCTTTGGATGTCGCGATGTTATACCATTCATTGAGTATATCCGTTATTATCCATGTATAAAACTGCAATTCCGAGACCTATTGTGCACAGGCAAGGATGAAAAGGCGCATCCCTGCAATTACTCGCTAACACGGCCGTTGGCAGAAGTTGCCTCCAACTAGAAGGAGCTCCAAACAGCCCCTGTTATGTTATGAGATGTTATGTTGGGCTGGGTCTTCCAAACCCAAAACATGACTCAGAAGCGGTACGAAGGAAAGAAACATAAATTCAAGGTGATGGTGCAAGCGAATGCTGCACGGCATCATCGTCTTCTTGCCCCAACCCCAGCTCCGCCGATACCAAGGGCTGAAATTTTTCTAAGGTTTAACTCTTTCACGAGTCACATGTTAAAAAAGAAAAAGCACATTAACCGTGTGTGTTTTTGTAACTCCCAAATTCCTCCCGAATATAAAGCCGCGCGCACTTTAAGCGCCGCGTCTGCTCGATGGAGCTGACGCGCGGAATGCGTGATGGGCACTTCTGCATTGAGCTCAGGGTTTTCCCGTGCAAGTCAATGAAGCATATAAAAACGCAGAGGGGGGGGGGAACTTTGGCAATGAGCCTGGATAAACTTTTTTTTTTAACCCATTGAGATATAAAGTCCAGACTTTATCTCTTCTAAAGTCATGTTTTAATGAGGTGTCCGGATGCTTGAGCAGTGGGGAGGGGGGCGGCTAATGCCTTGTGCCATGAATCGCTGATCCGCCACCACCGAGCTCCCGGGGTTTGGGTCCGCGTTCCCACCACGTACGCTTCAAACCGGGTTAAATTGCGGAGATTTTGATCATTGCCACCATAATTCCGATTACCCAAACCTTTCCAAAACGGGACGACTCTACGCCGTCCTTCAAACTGAGATGTTTACAAAGGCCACTTTTAAATTCTAAGAAATTTCACCGCTCGGTGCACAGAAGAAAATGGAGATCTGCGAACATCGGCCGGACATCTGCGAAAAAAAGCTTCAGGGCTCATCGGATTTCTCCAGGATAAAAAATATTCTGATTCTGAAAAAAATAAACTTACATCCCTTTGTCAATCCACTGCTGGATCAAGGCCTCCCAAAGCTGTATCCATCATGGGGATAGTTTAACCGTACTTCACCATGCTGGTCAGTGCGGGTTGGTCACGTGGAAAAGGAGGGGGGGTGTCAGGATCGTGTCAGACATCACTTGTGACTGACGTCAGTCAGGAATGGAACTCAAGTTAACGTCGTTAAAGTGCAGCAGGCGAAACCACCATATCAACCACTCCCGCCCCGCTGAGCGGAAATAACATGTCGTATTCAAGATTAATATATAAGTGGTGCACGAATCACGCGGCACCAGTGACGTACAGGGGATGGCCACGTCCCTCGGCGGGTTTTTTCCACATCATTATTTTTGACTGGCTCTTTCCCTCCACTCTCCTCTTACTCTCTCTCTTTCTCTCTCCGCCTCTTCCTTCTCTCCCAGACGAGCCATCCGAGAGGAATCGCGCAGACTGTCGGTACCCATTGCCACGGAGGATCGCATTCGGGACCAACGACTCAGTGGTCACGGGGAAGGGGGGTTTTTTTGGGGGGGGGGAACACATCAACACATTTCGCCTGGGAAATCTGCCAAGAGCACTGCACTGGTTTAACACGTAGGCTGTCGCGACCAATATCATCCATAATAGAGGTTTTGTTGGGTTAGATTGCGTAAATATACGCGTCGCTAAAACCGGCCATCACCCGACACAGCCAACGAGTAAGGGTTGTCACGTAAACAGGAGCATGCATAATGTACGTTCGCTCATTAATCCCCCTCCCCCCCCCACTTTGTGCAAGAGTGCAGAAGTGTGGTCACATCTACGCCTCTATATAAGGAACGAAACAGGTGGACTTCTCCGCAAATCTGGCTGTCGCCTGATGAAGCTGGTTTTAATTACTGGCGAAACGTCGTACTCGGATTGTAAATGTTGTGGCTTAGCTCTCCAGCACACCGGTAGTGCTGTACTAGTGACGAATTGGCCACGTTCTGTTTACGTGACAACCCTTACTAGTAGTTGTCTGTGTCGGGTGGTGGCGGGTTTTAACGACACAGCCCTCAACTGGCACAAGCACTCGCACGCACACATGCCCTCACCAACCACCAGTATGTATTCCCAAGATGCTGCTGGATGAAGGCCAATGGACATAACGGTTTGGTAACTTTCAGAAATTTTACTTTAAACTTGTTACATCATCATAACGGGAACACTCGAAAGGAGAGCAGAGCGTCATGCCCTGGGTGGGAATTACAGAACAGCCCACAGAAGCAGACTTTACACAACTTCTTCCGAGATTCATACAAGTGGCGAGATGTCAACAACAGGAGGTCGTGGGTTCGATCCTGACCTTGACCCCTGTATATTTGGAGTTTGCATGCCTCTCACCCCGTGGTTGTGTGAATTTATCTCCGGGTCCTCCGGTTTTTCCCTCCACATTTAGAAACATGCGTCTAAGAGTATTTGGCTGCTATAAATTTCTACACTATGAGCCAATTCATTGAGCTATCATTTGCGGCCAGGTCGCTTCTGAAAAAAATATATAGCTAAATGGGCCCTACCTGGTAAAATACAAGGTTAAGTTGAGACATTTTTACACACCCACTCTCCCGAAGGAGGGAGAGGTTCAACGCACAACAGTCAAATAAAAAATGTTAATTGCCAGAGCTGGAATTTACCCATTACTGTGTGCAGTCAATGGTAAAAAAACATGAAAAATATCAAGGTAATTAGGGCTCATTTAATTAGGGTCTGGATTCACAAGACAATGGGGTACAACTAAATGGGCACAATCATGTGTCCTGAGCCAATACGCACTGGAAACACACAATATTAGCCACGCAAATGAATCGAAAAATTACAACGCTTTTAAATGGAAGGCAACTTCATGTCGAATCACCAAGTTAGGATTCTGAATTACGGTATGCGTTTACATCTACAAAAAAAAATTCTCCAGAAATTCCCATGTCTTTAATGTAACGTTTTCAAATTAAAGTCTTGCTAAAAATACACTCTCGTGGCGAGTTCAATTGCAGAAGACATTCTTAATTTGAAGCTTTCGTGACTGCAGGAATCCATACTCTTTGAGTGTAGAAGACATGTTTTGTTACATTTACAAATTGTGCACAACTGGTTATAAAACCTCCGAAACAATTTTTTTTGGTTTCTCGTTTGCATTAATTGGTTAATGAAGTGTAATTTACTATCAGTTGAGAATCCACTGAGATGTAACATTGTGCATGCACGCAAGGGCTAGGCTTAAACAAGTCCCTTTTTTCTATTTAAAATGCAGTGACACAAAAACTTTACATCCAGCTAATTGCCCCTTTCTATTACATAGCCATGTGATAATACATTATTTTTGCTGAGGTTTTAAAGATAATTACGATAAAGTATTTTCACCTTTTGTATGTACGTATGATTACTTCGTTCGCACCGTACATGGCCAACCGTGCTAAATCGGATCAATCAGGAAAATGTGACGGACCAATTGTCCATCTTCAGGTCACCGCATACAAAATCCCACTCCTGCCAAGTGCCCAAGATACAAAAAGGGCGTTTAACACATTCCTGCGGAGGGAGCTGGTAGGAACGTTGGGTTGCTCGATCAATGGCCAGGGTCAATGGCCTGCAGGGTCAACGGCGGCGTGGTGTATTCCGAAAATATGCCCGACTGTGAGGGCGGGCACAAGCCAACGTGAGTAGGTTAAACGTTGAGTTTTATAAGGGCACCACGGGGTGACCAGCCCCTCTCCACCCAGC